CCGCCCCGCCCCGTTCCTGCAGCTTGCACAGCGCCTCCTCCAGGAAGGCATCCCAGCTGGCGCCTGTCCACTTACAGCCCGCACACCTCCACCTCAGCCTCAGCGGCGGCCAGGCCACTCCGTGCACACCCGGACCCGCCGGGGTTGCAGTGGACAAATCGCAGGGAAGGAAAGTTTAAGGCAGGCCCGGCTGCTGGGGAGGCCAGGCTGGCTGCCTTTCCCTGGTCGCTGCTGTGGGCACAGAGGGGGCGTGGTCAGGCCTGGCTGCCACGCTGGAGGCAAGCACCGGGCAAGCGCACGTTGATGCCGTTTCTCCCGGAAAGAAGAGGCCCCTGTGGACCCTGGAGGTGGACACGTCAGATGTGACGCCCTGGGCTTGTCCACGGCCCCTGCATGGGGCCCAGCGCTGGCCCGCTCCTCTGAAAGGAGGAGTCCCCCCCGGGAAGGGGTACCTCCCACTGGGCCCGCGGCTCCGGGCTCCTGTCAACCGACCGGGAGGCATCGGGATGGCCTTCAGGAGGCCGCGGTGCCTGCATCCGTCACCCACAGGCCGGCCTTGTATTAGGAAGGGCTGTGTGGCTGGAGGCTGGCCGGTCTCCGTCGGGGAGAGTTTCAAGGCCTCTGGCCCAGCCCGGGAGTTCAGCTGGCAGGGAGGCAGTGGGTTACAGATGATCAGAAGGCCACACGTATGTGGGCTGGTCAGGTGAGGCCTTTGGGACTGAGAGACGGGTGGAAGGAGCCCGATGCCCTGGCAGAGAGAAACCACAGAGTGAGAGCAGGACGGAAACGGGAGGGAGTGTGGCAAGCAAAGGTAGAGTGTGGGAGAGTGGGTGAGGCCTGGGCCCTGTGTCCCCCAGAGGAGGGGAGGTTCCCCAGCATAGTGTTTGGCAGGGCTCCTGGAAGGAAGGGCCCGCAGGTGACCCGTCAGTGTCCTGACCCTTCCGGGGGTTTTGACCAGGGCTGAGGAGGACAAAGGCGTGGCCTGCGCCTCCCTGCCTTGGTCGCCTGCCCCAGGACCAACCTTGTAGCTGGTGGCCTTCTCCACAGCACATGGACACAGCGTTTCATTACCGAAAGTCGGCCACAGCTCTCCAGTTGGAGGCTCCAGGCTCCTCTGGCCTGCCAGGAAGGGCTAGGAGGCAGCTCCAACAGATGTAGAGTCCCTGTGAGCGAGAGGACCTGGCCGCCTTGGGCGAGGGGGTGGCGTGGATGGGGGCCTGAGAATTTCTGGCACTCTGGCCAGGACGTGGAAGGAAGGGAGGGGTGTTGGTGGGTGCGTGCGAGTGCCTCGGTGGGGTCTCTTGGGTCCGTTTCCTGGACCACTCCATTGTGCCGTGAGCCCACATTCTCCATGCGTTCCTGGGGTCCTAGTTCCTGCTTACCCCTTTTACTGGCTGAATGGAGAATGTTCCGGTACTAGGCACGGCGGAGCAGACAGCTGCTGTGTCCGGGACGAAGGCGCTGCCCAGCCAACGTCGCAGGATGTGCACAGTGAGACAGCACTGGCCCGCCTAGCTCACGGGGACCTGGCACTGGACAGGGCAGTGCTCAGGGCACTCCGCCTGTCACTCAAGGCTAAAAGGCCACCCACAGAGCAATATCACCTCTCAGTGTTTTCCAGGGTGTGGTGGAAGCATCCAGAGGCTCTGTGCTGGCTCAGATCGTGGGTCTGTACTCCGTTCTTCTTCCGCCCCCTGACGGCAGGGGCGGATTCCGAGAGCAAGCTGCCTTGGGCCGACAAGCACAGCTTTGTCCTGCTTGCCACCCTGTATGGGCCACTTTTCGAGGGATGCTCTCGCCTAAACTTCAGACCACAAGGCAGCCTGTACGGGATGGCCAAGCTGGCTAGCCTGCAGGGCCCCTAGTCAAACTGCTAAGCAAACTTGCTAGTGGCGGAAAACGCCTTCTTGGTCTTAGAAATACTTGACAACCCTAACGACTATGCCACGGACGGGATCGGAGATGCCCTGGCATTGCTAGCACCCTGCGTTTATGGGCAGGGGACAAAGACAGCCTGCAAAGAGATGTCTGCACACACGTGTTCCCTGCCATTGTGGTGTGTACAAGACTCACAAGATTAAGGAAACGACATAGCCTTTCACCTACGCAGAGAAATACCGGGGCCAATTGCCGAACTCTGCGTGCAATTGTAGCCTCCCTAAAACAGCATGGTTATGTGTTGCTCGTGATCACACTGGTGGAATGAACTTAGCCATGTCAAGTAAGGAAATCAGGCCCGGGGTGAGTGGCGCCTAAGAGCCACTCATTTAGCATGGGACGATGTACCTGCGCTTAGGGTTCCTGTCAGAATGTTGGTGGTGAGGGGCTGGACTGGTCCAGGCCAGGTTTGGGGATAAGGACATGGCCATCAGTGGCTCAGGTCCTAGAACGGACACGGGGTCCAGCAGGAAAATGAACGAAGACACTTTCACCTCCCTGGGCTCTCTTCATGGGACCCCGAGACTAGGAAAGGCAAAAGACTCAGGTAACCCCTTTCCCAGGAAATGGGACAGCGAGCCCGTCAGGACACTGGCACTCTGCACCTCACCTGCAACGCCCCACCCACATGAGCGGAGCCCACGGAGGTCCACCTTCCAACCTCCCTGGCTTCTCTTGTTGCCCCGCAGCCCGGCTCTACGGATACAACTGTGTCCTCCAGGGGAAACTCACACCATGACCCACCCCTCCGCCTAAATCTTTGCAGGAGGAGCAGAGCTCCCTGGCCAGACAAAAGGATGCTCCTCCGCACACCTGAGCTCTCTGTTTTCCTGCGCCAAGCCCACACACGAGCACACAGGTGGGCACACTCAACACTCTTTATTCTCCCGCACATCGGGTCAGAGGTCTCCAGATTTCCCGCAGCCAGCACTCTCCACTCTGTGTTCTGCTTCCACACTCCATCCCGGGAGGTGCACATCCTGAGCGGGGTTCACACCCAGGGACCACAGCATCTCTGGGAGGCAACGGAAGCAAAGGAGTCGGCCCGTGAGACCTCACTCAAGATCGGGGAGCTCACTCAGACTCAACACAAAAACGGGCATCCACATTCATTTTCACGGCACCATCTCCAATTCCTGGACCAGCTCTGGACTCCTGATTTGGGCCTCCTTGCCCCTCTTTCCTCCTCGCCTTCAAAACGAGTGTTCTCCATCACACAGTCCCCATGGCAAGCGGCATGTGGATGGCAAAGCGAGGATGCTGCCTGAGAACATGAGCGAGGAGGATCTCTCCAAAGAAAGGAAGCCAAACAGAAAGAGGGAGTAAGGGAGAGGCGTGGGGGACAGAGAAAGAGAGGAAGAAAGTGAAAGAACGCGAGGAAGGGAAGGCAGCAACACAGGAATACAGAAAGGAAGCAAACTGGGGAGTAAGAAGAGCTAAGAAAGAGGGGAAGGAGGACAGAGCAAAGAAAGACAAGGGACATGACCTGCAGAAAAGAGTGAGCGCCGGAGGGCAGGGGGCAGGCTTTCATTCCTGGAGGCACTGCATTCCAACTCCCTTTTCCTCACTTGCTCACCTGGAGGTCCAGCTCCCTCTTCAGGTGGCTTCTTGCTCTTGAGGTAGCAGGGCAGCGGATTGATCCACAAGTCCTCCAGGATGATCTGGGAGGGAAAGAGGCACAGGGCGCCCTTGGAACCACGTCCCATTCGAGCAGATAATGAGTCAGGGGAACAAGGGCGTCCCACCAGAACCCACCTGAGTCATCCTTTCGCACCCTGCGGAACTGTGGTCAGTAAACCAGCCGAAGAAGTTAGGGCTGCGGTGGTACTGGCTGTGGCTGTAGGCTCTGTCTTTATAGGCGGTACGCCACTGAATTGGGGTGCTACGGGATGCCCTGTATCCTGAAGTTAGAAGAGACTGTTGCAAGAAGCTGGCCGATGGTGGACCGCCTCACCGCCCGTCCTGGGCCCACCCCGTTCTTGCCAGTGGTGTGCCAGAGAAAAAACTCCTTCACCAGAAGTCCATTGTGGAAGTCAGGGTCGTTCCTGAAGAACAAGGAGATCGTGCAGCAGTTACTGGGTTGATCCTCCTCTTCTACCTGTCAGAACAAAGTGGACAAAGCTCACATTCCCTTCTGCTGATCTGTTGGCACTTCCTGGCTGCATGGATGAGCGATTATCCTTTCTCACCACCCACACTGCCACCCCAGCCTCGGGCCTCCCCGCCGGGAATCTTCTCGTCCTGACCTCCAAAGTGATCATGTAGCTCAGCATGTCTTTATCTTCCTCACTGATCCCCGCCGCCATCTCTGGGTGGTGGGCCATCTGGCTGGGGTCAAGGAGCTCAACACTCAGGTCTTATGTGCCTCCAAGACGTGCCCAGAAGAGAAGAGAGGGACAGGGACAGGGAAACAGGCACACACAGAGAGAGTGGGACGAACACCGAGGAGGGGACAAGGCAGAGAGGCACAGTGGGAGGAGGGAGGAGAGGGTTCGGACAGTAAAGAGCAGCAGGGTACTGCAATCTGCAGTCATACAGGCCTCGCCGGCTCAGGTCCCCGCCCTACATCCCTGAATGAGTTTTGTCAGGGAAGCTCCGGGATATCTGGGTGTCCGGTCCAACTCAGCAATCTGTCTGCCTGCCCCTCCTAACAGCCCCCACCATCCACGAGGCCCGATAGCCTTTCTCCGTGTGGCCAGTCCCCACATAGACCAAGCTTAGGCCTCTGAGGTCTGTGTGCCTCACGAGACGGAATGCACCGCTGGTTTGGCCCCTTTCCCCAGCAATTCACACTGCGACCAGGAAGTACAGTGCTCCCTGTGTCCACTGTCCCAGGAATTTCCCTGGGATCTGCCAGATCGCTTTTGATTACCTGGCCTCTGGGTCGCTGGGTCCCATTCCATGCCATCAACAGCCTGGCTGCTGTCTTCTCCCTCCACCTGGGCTGGGAACCTCCTGCCCGCAGGGGCTGGCTGCGCACACCTGCTCCCGCTCCAACAGCTTTCCAAGTGTGTGGCATCCACTCACCATTTCTTCTGCCACTAAATATTCTGAGAGCTTACGCACCCTCCCTCTCTCCCACGGCCTCCTTGCTCCCACAGCCCCATGACCACCCCCAGGCCACCCCGCGGCCCCACAACACGCGGCCCTTCTCCCTGCGCTCCGCACACCCACCCAAAGGGATACCGCTGTGGCC